TGCAGTTCTGTTGAAGAAAGATGTTGAATCTATTTAATTATTCTTGAAAAATAATTTATTTCTGTGCATTTTTTTTCACACTGCATCAAATTAAAGTTGATTACGTCGATTAAGCATCACGAGGTGGAGGGTGGGGGGGTTCACTATGTTTTGTTTTTTTTGCTGGGAGTTTGCAGCCCTGTTAGTTAGGTTGCTTAATATTTCTGCTAAGTTCTCTTTAAAGTACCAGAGTAGGGAGGATGGAGCAGGTTTACGTTTGTTAGATTGATCAGTTTTGCTGAACTATGAAATATTTTGGGTGCAGTGTGTTTTTCACACACAGGTGTAACAGGATAGCTTTAGTGTTTGTTTTTTAAACTTGAGTATGAACTTATACAAAATGCAGCAAGATATTAAAAAAACAGTTTTATTGATTAAAAAACACTATATCAGATTCATATCAGATATCAGACATAAAGTGGTATCGTGCCATCTCTAATCTCAATCAGACCTTAAAGCAGGAAAGAGTTTACTGAGCTCAGGGACCAGTAATAAGGTCAGAGCTGCCACCTGCTGGGCATTAGAGAGAATGCAGGTTAAAGAAGCAGAGTCCTCTGTAAAGTCTGTTTGAAACGGAGTGAAGACTTTTCACTAAAGATGATAAAACTCTTTTGTCAGGTTGCCTGTGATCGATGAGTCGTCCTTCCTGTCTCACTCTGACATCAGCTACGATCGCACCGACGACGATGTGGTACGAACATTAACCCGACACGTGCACCATGCCTGCAGTGTAAGAACACTTTAACGTTCTTTGTCATGGTGTTTCAGGATTTGGACACAACTGTGATCCAACCGCTGAGGTCTCGAGCGAGAGAGAGGAGGGTAACACGTTGTCCTATATTTACTTATTTGTTCATTCAGATTTTGCGTGGAAACATTTCGCCGGTGGTGCAGCCTCTGCTCCCCTGGCTTTCTGATGATATGCTGTTCTCCACAGCGTTCCTCGATGGGTCTGCCTGTTGGTGCTACGGTCAGGAAACGAAGCAGAGGCAGGAACTTGTCAGCAGAGCTTCTGGAGAGGAAAACTGTGGAGAAGGTGAACCGACTGAGATGTTATGTTCTCACTTTACCTCGCCTTGTTCGTACTCGGCTGGGCCTTGTCTTAATTCTTTATGGGGCAGATTAACAAAGAGCTGGGAGGAACATGGCAGTGATATCATTAGAAATTACAATTGGCTAGCTGCCGGGACAGGTGGGTCTTCTGTCTCTGTAAACTCGGAGATGGTTGGTGGAAAAATCCCAGCAGATCAGCAGTTTCTGAAATGCAGACCAACAACAGTTTAAGTTCAGACTCACTTAACTCACTTTCTGTTCTGAATGATTCACTGCTGTGTGATTGTTAATGCAAGTATCTGATTAACCAATCAGCTGAACAGTTGTACCTAATGAAGTGGCTGGTGATTTGCCATGTTTATTATAAATCTACCACAACAAAGTCATTAATGAACCAAAGAATTAACTGCTTAAAGTTCTGTTTGTTCCTGCTGTACCTGAACGTTTCTGATGCCTCCACTGACTCAAACTATGAAAGTCGTCCTGATAGCCTCTGCAGAGGAACCGCCATAAAACAACATGTTTCTAAAGGCTCTCCTGTGGCTCTGATTCTTTGAACTTACTCAGGAGGTGGAGACCGTTGTGAAGGCCTCCATCATTTCTAATGACACTGGAGGCCAGGTCCACATGGTGCTGGGAATCACTCAGGAAACCTCCGAAAACTCTCCCCAGACTATCACCCAGGAGTGTAGCGTCTCAGCAGGAGGTCAGCTCTACATTCAAGATACAAGATGTTTGTTGTCACGTTCGCAGAGCGAATTCTTACTTTGCAGATTCGATTCACACAACTAAAAGAAAGTAATAATAAGTAAAACAGTGCTTTGTAGATCTTGTAGCTTATATGTGGGTGTAAACAGAATTGAAAGTGCAAGTAGTTTCAGCATTCAGTCATAATATATACAGAGCATGCAATATTAAGCTGTCTGTGCAGTCTTAAACACAACCCAGTTTGTAGCACCAAAGCAGTCCTGAAGCACTGAATCATACTCTTCACTCCAAACTTTAGTAATTTTACTCACTGGGGGGCTCGTTTGAGGGGCTGCCTGTATGCTGGATGGATAGATGTTTAATTCATTTCAGCTTCATGTCCAAATGTGTCCAGACCAGTGACGGATTAATGACAAGACCTCTGCTTTTAAAGAATGAGGATCTACCAGGTTCACTACAGTTGGACTGCTTTGGACATCCTGCTTTAGACGACCGATCAGAGAATCAGTCAGAGGAGTTCTGAGTTTCTCTTTTAGCCTCTTTTTTTGTTTGTTTGTTTCTTTTAATCTGTTGCTGTGAGAAAACCCGTGTTTTGCACTCTGTCCTTCAGGCCAGACCTCGGTGTGGTTTCCCTGCAATGACTCGGTCCCCGGTCCTGAGGGTGAAGCTCTAGTCGAGGAGAAAGTCGGGAACATTGGCAGAGACCAGAAAGCCTCCAAGCACACCTTTGTGTCAAAGACGGTACGACGAGCGTTGGGCCATTTACTTTTTTGTGGAAGTAACTGAGTTAGTAACTTGGTTATGGTAATATAAAAGTAACATTTGCGTTACTTTGAAAAAATGTTTACTATACTTGACTATATACATTTTAGTATGTTCAGTTGTTATAAAACTGAATACATTGAAATAAATGAACTTACCAGAAGGAAGTAACAGGAAACACAATCTAAACTGTTCAAATGTCACTGTGACGATATTAGAGACACAGGTTGGATATCATGTAACTGGTGTGGAATTATTTCCACATGTTGTAATAATAGAACAATAAAAAAACAACCTTTTTTATATTTATTCCACGTCAGCAGGCTGCACCTGGCTATGTAATAAGTGTACAATAAAACTTTTATGCTTTTTGAGCAAATTAAAGAAGCCAAATCGTCACAATGTCAGATCGTCGTGGCCGAACAAGTGTTCCACACTAAAGTGATTTCAGTGTAATAGTGAAACAATAGGTTCACTGTATAACAAAACTAAGGAATCAAAATGTAACATCATGGCTGTCTTTGACAATCCATCTCAAGTCACATGAGTGCTGTTCTCACGGTAGAGTCGTATTAGAGTTTCCTGTTTTAATGTCCTCTGCTTATATTCAAATTTAAAGCATTCTTATTGGCCACATCCATCCAACCATCCACTGTAGATGAAGCAGCATGTTCTTGATGACGTACCTGCCGCTCAGGCTGTTTTCATTCCGTCCGTGTCACAGATGTTTGTGGTGGAGAGAAATCAAGCTTGGATGGTGTCACCTTGTTATTCTCCGCGCTCGTGTTAGCCTCATCGGGGTTTGGGCTGCGCCTGCTAGCGTCACCATCGCCCTCATTCTTGGCGACTAGTTTTGTTGAAGCATGTGATGTATCATGAGATTCAAATTACTTACACATTCTTACAGTTTCTTGCCTTTTTATTTAGACAGAAAAGTGATGTCTGCACTTCCACTTAAATGCTTCCTTTGAATTGTTGTTTATGTGCTCACTGTCCATATCTGTTTGTACGTGAATGGTAAATGGCCTGTATTTGTATAGCGCTTTTACTAGTCCCACAAAGCGCTTTACACACCCAGTCATCCACCCATTCACACACTGGTGGAGGCAGCTACAGGTGTAGCCACAGCTGCCCTGGGGCGCACTGACAGAAGCGAGGCTGCCATATCGCACCATCGGCCCCTCTGGCCAACACCAGCAGGCGGTAGGTGAAGTGTCTTGCCCAAGGACACAACGACCGAGACTGTCCAAGCCGGGGCTCCAACCGGCAACCTTCCGATTACAAGGCAAACTCCAACTCTTGAGCCACGATCGCCCCACACCTAAGTTTAAGTTGGCTGGTTTACCGTGGCTACTGTACTCTTTCTCAGCCAATCAGCAGCACTCGTGCCCACGCTGCATTTTCATGTTGGTAACAGCATTGCAACAATAGGGTAATGCCGATATTCCCATCATGGGGTGCAATCTCCTTGATGTTTACATTCAAGCTGCTCCGACATCACCTCTGATGGAGTAACGTGTCATTTCCCTCCAGGTGATCCGGCCGGAGACCTGCACGCCGTGTGGGAAGAGGATCCGCTTTGGTAAGATGGTGGTGAAGTGCAGGAACTGTCGCGTGGTTGCTCATCCGGAGTGCCGACAGAAGTTCGCTGATGGCTGCACAGCCTTCAATGCCATGGCAGGAAGTACAACTCAAACGGCAGCTAAGGTGTGAGCTGGAGGGAGGGGCTTCACTGTGACATCATAATATGCATCACAATAAACCTGCGGCAGTCATTTCAGTTGGTTGTGTTCATGGACGACAGGGCGACTTTAGTGAGCTGGTTTAGTTTCCGTCTGTTTTGCTCGTCACTCGATTACCGTTGCATGTTTGGACATTTCTAGAAAAAAAGGTTCCTGGTGCAGGACTGTTTAAACCTTCGTCATAAATTGATAATTAAATGCACAACTCTGAAAGGCCAGTAGATCCCATCTTGAAATTGAACAGCTATTTTATTTTCAGGGATGGCTCTTTAACAGCTCAGGTGAAATACAATTCAGTTTTATTTACACGGCGCAAAATCACAACAGTTGCCTCAAGACTCCTCATATCGTACAGTGATACAGAAAACAATCGGACGACGCCTTGTGAGCAAACGCTTGGGGACAGTGGGAAGGAAAAGCTTCCATCAGAACCGGGCTCAGGGAGGGGAGGCGATCTACTGCGGCAGGTTGGGGGTGAGGAACAGAGGTGAAACAGCTGGACAACAGCTGTTTAAGTGAAAGCCTGCGCTTGTACAGCCCCAAGACTTTTAGATCAGTTTGAAATCAGGAAAAACCCGTTGGGCTGGATTGTAGATATTTTAACAAATGGGTCACAAAGACTTAGAATGAATGGGGTTCAGTCTGACCCAGTGTTCTCCTCCACAGGTTCTCCCCAAGGGTCCTATCGCCCTTATTATTCACTCTCTATACAAACACGTGTCATCATTAAACATGCAGGTGACTCTGTTATTGTCAGCTTACTGAAAGAGGGTGAAACTGGCCACGGTCCAGTCATTGATGACTTTGTTCAGTGGTGGGAGGAGTCTTATCTCCAATGAACATATTTAAAACTAAAGATGTAGTTATTGATTTTAAGAAACAACAAAATGGGCACGGAGTCACTTTAATTAAAGGTCAGCAAGTCAAGTTCAATCATATAAAAATCTTGGGACCATAATCAATGAAAAACTGAACAAAATTGCGAATCAGTTTGTAAAAAGGGTCACCAGCTCCTTTATTGCCTCAGGAAACGTGCTCATTTGACACTGACTGAAAAATGTTAACTTTGATATTTTCATGAATGATAAAACATTCTCAGTCAGTTTTATCCTTTTGTTTGATGGCACGGTTCAGTCAGACCTGTCACAGAGAAAAACTCTCTGAATCAGTGAGACGGTCCAGTCGTCTGATAGGTGAGCCACAGTCTCCCTGTACTCTAAGCAGGTGCAGAGGATCAAGCCTTAAAAATGGTTCCCATCCTCTACGGGGTGAATTTCAGCTTCTTTCCTCAGGACGGAGGTTTTCATTTCCAAGATGCAGGACAAAGCGTTATAAAAACAGCTTTGTCCGTGTTGCTGTCACTGAATTAAATAAGAACTGTTTTTGGATTTGAAATGTTTAAAGTACTATAGTCAGGTGTTTTATTAGGTATGTGTGTTTTTGAAGGGATGCCAAATGCTATCTTTTTTTTCCACAAAGCAAATTTAGCTATGGGTATAAATAAAGTAACCTTGTTCAGGACTCGTTGGAGGACTTTGCTCCTCAGACTCATCCCAGAGTGCCTCAGCTGATTGTGGACTGCGTGGCCGAAATCGAGAGGAGGGGCCTGCAGGAGGTGAGCCGTTACGGTTTTGATCATTTGGGTTTATGGATGTTTCAATAATAAAGACAGCTGTTTGTTCGGATACTCTGGGAATACACGAGGGTTGGGGCTGTGCATGCAAGGATGTGGATAAAGAAAACTTCCTGGAGTCCTGTCCCCAGCATGCACTTCCTGTATGTCTAACCTGTGTCTGCAGAGAGGCCTGTACAGAGTTCCTGGAGGTGAGCGTCTGGTAAAGGAGCTCAGAGACTGCTTCCTTCAGGGGAAATCTGCTCTGATGCTCAGTAAAGTCCAAGATGTCCATGTGGTCTGCGGACTGCTGAAAGACTTCCTGAGGAAGCTGAATGAACCTATGATCACCTTCAGACTGCACAGGACCTTTATGGAGGCTTCAGGTATGTTCAGACCTTTAAATTCCAGAGCTGAGACAGCGCCTAATGTCATGTCTTTTTTCAGAGCTGACTGATGAAGACAACTGCTCAGCTACCATGTATCAGGCCATAGCAGAGCTGCCAAAGGCCAACAGGGACACCCTTGCCTTCCTCATGATTCATTTACACAAGTAAAAGTCTCCACACAGAATTCGAGTACACCTGAAGAGCTGCAGATGAGCACTTTGGGATTTTAAGGCTTTTTCTTTCTGAGCTTTGGTGCTTTCTGGGTCCTTTTTCAGAAGGTGGTCACCTCAAGGCAGCTGTTGTGACCT